AAATTCAATACCAAAATGGTAGATACAATACATATACATTTGTACCAAGACATCACACCACAAGTCATAACTCAATTCCACATCACATACACAATACAAATATGTCCACACAAAACAATGGTTCACATACCCTCAAGTAGTTCACCATGAATCCACATCTCATCATTATACATATATGAACTAACTCTACAACCTAGTACATACTACTTTAAACAATTTTTCAATTCACAAGATACTTTAGAACATCAAACAACATACATCTCCTTTTGACAACTGTCAAAGAAAATAACATATAGAGAGTTATACTCATCTAAAGAAAAATTTGCTACATATAGAGAGTTATAACATCTCCTTACAATATGCTACACTTACAAGACCTGAAATCAGTTTTGCTGTTAACAAAGTTTGTCAATTTATGTCTACTCCTCTTGACTCTCACTTGGTGGCTGTCAAACGTAACCTCAAGTATTTAAAAGGCACACTCTCTTATGGTCTTCATATGCAACCTGCTGCTGTAAATGGACCCATCTCCCTCATTGCCTTTTGTGATGCTGACTGGGCCTCTGATGTTGATGACAGGAGGTCCACTTCTGGTTCTGCTATCTTTTTTGGACCCAATTTGATATCTTGGTGGTCCAGGAAACAGCGTGTTATTGCTCGGTCCAACACAGAAGCTGAATATCGCAGTATAGCCCAAGCCTCTGCTGAATTAACTTGGATTCAAGCCCTTCTGCAAGAACTTAAGGTTCCCTTTTCTACACCTACTTTGCTCTGTGACAATCAAAGCGCGGTGGCCATTGCTCACAATCCTGTTTTCCACAGCAAAACAAAGCACATGGAGATTGATGTGTTCTTTGTTCGTGACAAAGTCCTCTCCAAGCAACTTCCGGTTTATCACATACCAGCTCTTGATCAATGGGCTGATCTTCTTACTAAGCCTTTGTCTGCTGCTCGGTTTGAAGTTCTTAGGGACAAACTCAAAGTGCAAAGTTTTTGTGTCAAAACTTCACCTTGAGTTTGAGGGGGGTTGTTAGTGTATATGGGTTACAACAAAAAGGGAATATTTGTTTGTTAGTCCTTTTTGCTTTTTGCATTCTGCGATATCTTTAGGATATCTTCAGAATCTTTTAGTGGACAATTGTCCTGCCACCTCTCTTGTTTTTCTCTCTCCACTGGTTTCTTTTACAACTGTTTTCTCTCTTTTCTCTAGCTGCTATAATTTAGAAAAGGTTCTCTATATATTCAGCTCTCCTTGTATTCTTTCTACAGCAACAATGATAATAAAGTTTCACTATTACATTTTACCTCTCTTGATTTTATCTAACATCGAATTCCTAACATAAATGGAGCTAGATGGTTTATCACCTTTATAGATGACCATACTTATGTGTGTTGGGTGTACCTCTTGAAAGAAAAATCTGAAGCTAGCACAACCTTTAAACAGTTTCATAAACATGTCACCAATATTTTTGGCTCCTCAATTCACATCCTTTGTACTGATAATGGGCGGGAATACTTCTCTAATGATCTTAATGGTTACCTACAGGAACATGGCATATTCCATCAAAGTTCTTGCAATCATACCCCGCAACAAAACGGGGTTGCTGAAAGAAAAAATTGCACATAACCATCCTTTCAAAAAGACTGTGTTAGGTAAATATGTTAAGCACTCCATGTCTGGTTAAGGCAAAACACATGTGAACAAGTGTATCAACTATCAAGTGATTTATTTTCCATCCTACATACGTGTATGAGTGTATCAATTGTATTCTTATTATTGTTAGTAATATCAGATGTTATCCTTGTTAACAAATCAATAATTTTAACTTGTCAGTTTGGGATAACTTTTTAAAAAGAAAAACAAATCTTGAAAAAATAGTTTGAAAATACTCCTCTCTCTTGTATATGCTTTTGCTTGATTGTGCAAGTTGAACAGGCTAGTCGGTTTGTTAGGGACCCAAGGCCTGACTCCTTTGATGCTTGGTTACCTTGCCTATTTAAGAAGAAATTTGGCCTATATAATTAAATATGTCTTACCACTACTAATGTTACTTGTTATAGTATTTAAAGTGCCTTTTGCGTGATCAAAGGTTCCATTGCAAAGTATGGCTTCAAATTAAGCTTTCAGGCATAACCATCCTTTCAAAAAGACTGTGTTAGGTAAATATGTTAAGCACTCCATGTCTGGTTAAGGCAAAACACATGTGAACAAGTGTATCAACTATCAAGTGATTTATTTTCCATCCTACATACGTGTATGAGTGTATCAATTGTTTATTTTAACACAAATATATCTGTCATCAGACATCTTTCTGTTTTAATATTTCATAAATTATTAAACCCTTTTTTCTGATTGTAGTTGAGAAAAACCTCAAAATGAGTTCAAATTTTTTCCAAAATTCTACACTAGGAGACATAATGTTCCTTTGCAAGGTCAATCTTCAGACTTGGAGCCAAATCATGTGGAAGCAATAGACTGTAACACTGAAGGTAATTGTGCAGTTGAAAATCTTAATGTTGAAAATGATACTATGGATGAATTTGACTTGCCTATTGCATTACGAAAAGGAGTTAGATCTTGTACAAAGCATTCTATATCAAATTTCCTCACATATTCTAACCTATCTCCGAGATATAGAGCTTTTGTTACAGAATTGGATAGAGTTCAGATCCCAAACACTGTCTTTGATGCTCTTAAAGACGAAAAATGGAGAGCTGCTGTCCTAGAGGAAATGGCTGCACTAGAAGAAAATAAGACCTGGGATATTGTCAAGCTGCCCAAGGAGAAGAAAGTTGTGGGCTGCAGATGGATATTTACCACAAAAATGGGTGCAGATGGGAAGATAGACAGGTATAAGGCGAGGCTAGTGGCCCAAGGCTATACCCAAACCCATGGTATAGATTATGAAGAAACATTTGCACCAGTTGCAAAACTTAATTCTATTAGAATTCTCATTTCTCTTGCAGCAAATCTGGATTGGAAACTACACCAATTAGATGTGAAGAATGCTTTCTTGAATGGGAAGTTGGAGGAGGAAGTTTATATGAAATTGCCCCCTGGATTTGAAGGAGAAAATAATGATGTTGTGTGCAGGTTAAATAAGTCCCTGTATGGACTGAAACAGTCCCCAAGGGCCTGGTTCACAAGATTCAGCACTACTATGAAACAACTTGGCTATGTTCAAAGCCAAGCAGACCACACCCTTTTTGTAAAAAAATCCAAAGATGAAAGAAGGGCTATTCTTATTGTCTATGTAGATGACATGGTAATCACAGGTGATGACAATCAAGAAATTGACAATCTCAAAAGTTGTTTGCAAGCAGAATTCAAGGTTAAAGATCTTGGGCAGCTTCAATACTTTCTTGGGATGGAAATAGCTAGAAGCAAGAAAGGTATTTTCATCTCACAAAGGAAGTACACTCTTGATTTGCTTCGAGAAACAGGGAAACTGGGGTGTAGACCTGCAACAACTCCCCTAGATCGAAATTGGAAGCACAAGATTATTGAAGATGATCCTCTAGTTGAAAAGGAGAGATATCAATGCCTTGTAGGAAAACTAATCTACCTATCTCTCACCAGACCAGATATTGCCTACAATGTTAGTGTGGTAAGTCAATTTATGCATTCTCCTAGGAAGAGGCATTTGGATGCTGTAAATTTGATTCTTCGTTATCTCAAAAGTACTACTAGAAAGGGATTACTGTTCAGAAAAAATGAACACAGAAGTGTAGAGTGTTTTGCAGATGCTGATTAGGCAGGTTCAATGGAAGATTCAAAATCTACCACAGGATACTGTACAAAAGTATGGGGAAACCTAGTGACATGGAGAAGTAAAAAACAATTGGTTGTTGCAAGAAGCAGTGCAGAGGCTGAATATAGAGCAATTGCTCAAGGAGTTTGTGAACTGATTTGGATAAAAAGATTATTACATGATTTATTTATTCCCCTTCAAGAGCCTGTGAAACTGTACAGTGATAGCAAGTCAGCCATAAACATAGTACATAACCCAGTGCAACATGACAGGATGAAACATGTAAGAACTGACAGATACTTCATCAAGTCAGAAATGGAAAATGGTACATTTTCTCTACATTATGTTCCAACCAAATTACAAGAAGTAGACTTGCTGACAAAGGCTTTGTTGAAGTCAGATTTTGAGTCTAATATTAGCAAGCTAGGAATGATTAGCATCTATTCACCAGCTTGAGGGGGAGTGTTGGATAGAAATCCCAAAATTTATCGGATATTATTATGTTGCAGAATTTCAGGGATTAATTTATGGGATATTATTATGTTACAGAATTTCAGGGATTAGGATCTACGACTTATTCTTTATTGTTGTTACTGATTTATAGGGATTCCTATTTAATTATAGGAATTGCCTATTATTTGTTTCCTTTTCTTATTTCCCTGTTTTACCTATTTATGTACTAGACCAATCATTTGAATAAAACAAGAAGAATGATTTCTTCCACTTCTGATAATAAAAACCATTCATAAGTTTGTCCTTGTCCTTCACATTAATCAATACTCATTCATTTTTTTCCTTTTAATTCCAATCAATATAGCAGTCTATCACATTGACTAACCTGAATGACAACATCTCCCGAACTTTGGGAGCCGTTGGCATATTCATAAATAAGGAGTTTGCAAAGAATGTAATACGGCGTCGGGCTTCTAGATTTTGGGGCACATTTATGGCTAGTTCCTTGACTGTCAAAAGCAAAAGAAGCCTAGTAACCTACATAGGCACATTTATGGCTGGTTCCTTGACTGTCAAAAGCAAAAGAAGCCTAGTAACCTACATAGGCACATTTATGGCTGGTTCCTTGACTGTCAAAAGCAAAAGAAGCCTAGTAACCTACATAGAAAAAACAGAAACTATTAAGCAACAACACATTCAAAAAGAATACGGTAATGTGTTCATTTATGTATAGCTGACAGGACTACCTTTCCCGTCACTGATCTTTTGCGTCTGAGAGAAGTATCGATGTTGACAAACATCTCCTTTCTCATTGCACAATATTGCTAAGGTGTTTGCTGAAACCTAGAGAAAGAAGAACCAAGCCAATATCGTAAAGCCATACTTATTATAAGGTTTAAAAAATCATATACAAAATTTCAAGTCACTTTCAAACATACAAATGGCCATCAACCATAACATCGTGTGTGATAATTGCTGCAATATCTTGCACCAGATTCACTATCTGGGACTTTTGTTTGCCATCTGCAGACTTCTGCCAGTGGGAAAAAAATTGATATTTGTATAGATTTGCAGAAGTCTTTGGAAAAGGAACTGACATTACTGAGAAGAAAAAAAGGTAGCACGATGGGAAAAACCTACCAATAGAGTTAAGAATTTCACTAACTTATCAATGAGTGAAGGCAATCCACTCATCTTGAATTCCTTCACAAATGTTTCTTCTCGTATTCACCGTTCTACTTTAGCACATATCCTGCTTACAAGCCTGTCTCCATGGAATAAACCTAATAAATTCCCGAGGATTCCAATAAGAAAATTAAATGGGTGAACAGAGGCTAAACAAGTATATTTCTCTTACAGCCTGTCTTCTTCATCCAGTAAAGTGTCATAACTTTCATTTCCTCAACATATTTTCTTGGAAATCAAAGGATGTGCTTTGCACTACATGTTACACGAAGTAGAAGTCAAATGCCTAGCCTTAGCTAATCTGTCCCTGAATGCAAAGTATGGCTTCAAATTAAGCTTTCAGGCATAACCATCCTTTCAAAAAGACTGTGTTAGGTAAATATGTTAAGCACTCCATGTCTGGTTAAGGCAAAACACATGTGAACAAGTGTATCAACTATCAAGTGATTTATTTTCCATCCTACATACGTGTATGAGTGTATCAATTGTTTATTTTAACACAAATATATCTGTCATCAGACATCTTTCTGTTTTAATATTTCATAAATTATTAAACCCTTTTTTCTGATTGTAGTTGAGAAAAACTTTATGGAGACAGAGCTTAAAATAACCATATCAAGAAATGTTGTATACCAAGGCAAAACAAATATTCTGTTCTTGCTATGAAGCTTGCATCCTTTGTTCAACCAGCATATGGCTAATAAGGTTTCAGTATTGTTTCCAATTTGCTTTGGATATCTTAAGTTCAATTTGACATTATGTTTAAGGTAACGACACTTATCTAAAGTGTAATATGTAAAAATCCTTGTTCATGTAGAAAATTTGGTTTGGTTTTAGTTAATATATGGTGTAAGTGCCCTTTTGGTCCCTATAATTCATAACCTTTACCTATTAGTTCCTACAATTAAAAACATTTCATTTCAGTCCCTTACGGTTAGTGTTTTTGTTTCTTTTTAGTTGTTATAGTTTCATAAATTTACCTTGTAGTCTATATAACAATAGACAATAGGGACTAAAAGGTGTGTCCTTGAGGCATTAATTTTATTTTATTTTGCGAGCTTAAAGGGAGAATTCCAGTTCCTTTTAAACTCAAATTTCAATAATCATCATTTGCTTGGACATTTAATAATCACATTTGTGTAATAACTATCTTGAATCTTGTAAAATAGCAAAAATCCAAGAAACTTCAACATCCGAAATTTCTAAGCCATTTTTTGTCCTGTTGTGTACGTAATTGTCATCAAATAGTTTAATTGATCAGAACTTAATTTTATTGTAATCTATACTATATTGTAGTATTCCCAGCACTTCTAAATTTTGTTCTAGTAATTTATCTATTTATCTCTCAAAAGAAGAAATTCATTATGATTTTTAATGAGTTTGGAGGATAATAGTCATCCTTAGTGTAAGTGATAAAAAAAAAACACGACGATAAAAAAAAAGTGTCATAACTTTCATTTCCTCAACATATTTTCTTGGAAATCAAAGGATGTGCTTTGCACTACATGTTACACGAAGTAGAAGTCAAATGCCTAGCCTTAGCTAATCTGTCCCTGAAATAGAATTACTTGGTTCCCTATTGACTCCTGACTTCTCCCAATATGCTATGATTGAAGTAGTTTTTTGTAAGAAATCAGCATATGTTCAATGTAATGGAAATTTAATCAAGTCTTGATTTTTGTTTTTTTTTTCTTGCATTGATTACTTTTCTTTAATATTAATTGTTTGGCTCTTGGAACAAAGCATACCATTCCCCAGCCCATTTGGTGAAAAATTTTATAATTCCTGATGGATTCTGTAGCGACTTGGAATAACAGATTGGCAAAACAACAACCCAAATAGCTGCTACCACAAATTTCAAAAAATATCGAAGCAATTGAGTGAACTTCATATTCCTCAATGCATTCCATGTGAGAATAATATCAAGAGTTGCTGCAAATAGAAGATATGAGAAAAAAAGTTCATAAAATTACAACAGTAATTGCTATTGAAACTATAGAAGAATAAAGCTACCTTTATTTAAAAAAATAAAACATATATTTTCCATCTTGTTTACCAAAGAACTAAACAACTTCCAATAGAAAGGAGTGGTTCTTTTGGCAAAATCTTTCCATTTTGGACTTTGAATTTGCATGTAAACAATAATTGGTAAGTTAATATCTAGAGATTTACAAATATACAATGGAGATAGAAAGAACAATGGTTGATATGGAGCGACAGAGCTATTACAACTATAATGGACAATATGCAAATTTAGGTGGTATACAGTTTCGTGGAAAGCAAGAAACTATTAACCCTATTTTTCTGTAGATATTTAATAGCCTTGATATCACCTATACTTTCCAAATAAACCATAATAGGCCCACCAGGGTGTGCCCGTGTTTTCCAAGCCACATACCCAATCCAAGTTGTGGGCCTTTAAAGTATATTGATACTTTCTCACTTGGGTAATTGAGGTATTACACAATTAGTTTAGTTATTCAATTACTCAATTTTTCGTAAGTGTATCTTAAGAGTTTTTTTCATAGTTGTCAAAATCAAACCGGACCGGATCGACTGGTCTAACTGGGAACCGACTTGGTGACTAGCCCAGTATTGGAGTATATAACTTTACTGCTTAATATTGTATTAGATATAATATTGTATAGGGTTATTCTTTCTGTCATTTTTCTGTTTTAGCTTTGGTAACCTGTTCAACAGGTTACTGTTTCTATAACTTCTTCTAGAAGCTATTAAAAGATATATATATATATATAGGTCTATTGTATTACAGATTCAACTACTGAAATAACACAAGATTTTCTTCCCTGTTAATTTGTCTATGTCTCTCATTCTTTCCCTCTCTAATTTCAATATGGTATCATAGAGTTGTCGATCCCTACTGCCTCTCTCTTACTCTCTTCTCCTTCTGTCCTTGCTATTGAGTCCTACCACCACTTCTTCCTTTTCTCCCTGTCTGCACTATTAGTCTCTTCTCATGGCTAAAGAAACGCCATCGTCTTCCCCACCACCGCCCCATTTTCATGTTGAATCTGTCAAACCCTCCTCACCCCTTCCCTTACCTTCTCGCACACTATTTTTGAGAAATTAGATACCAAGAACTATCTTTTTTGGTGTCAACAAGTTGAACCTGTCATCAAAGGCCACCGTCTTCGTCATTTCTTAGTTAATCCCCAAATCCCATAGAAATTTCTTTCGATTTCTGATAGAGATGCTAATCGTATTTCTGAAGAATATCTTGCTTGGGAATAGCAAGATCAGTTGCTTCTCTCTTGGTTACAATCATCAATGTCCAAGGACATGCTCACTCGAGTCATTGGGTGCAAATCTTCCTTCCAAATTTGGGACAAGATCCATGCATATTTTCATGTGCACACTAATGCCAAAGCACGTCAACTCCAAAGTGATCTTCGTAGCACGAATCTTGAAAATCGTTCCATTTCTGATTATCTTCTTCGAATTCAATCCCTGGTCGATGCACTAACTACCATTGGTGATTCCATCTCCTCCAAAGAACATCTTGATATTGTTCTTGAAGGCCTTCCGGAGGAATATGAGTCCACTGTTTCTCTTATCAGCAGCCGCTTTGATGAACTTTCTATAGATGAAGTCGAAACACTTCTTCTTGCTCATGAATCGCGTCTTGAGAAATTCAAGAAAAAGAACCTCATCTCTGTCAACATTCTTGAAACCTCCTCAAGCTCCAATTCTCCTAACTTGCAACCTCAAGCCAATCTTGCTCATCAAGATTCCCAGTTTGCTTCTTTTCGTGGTGGAAGAGCTAGTGCACGGTATGGTCGTGGTGGACGACCCAACAACCATTATGGACGTGGGCGTGGCAGGTTTGCAGGCATTCAATGTCAAGTCTGTCACCGATGTGGTCACATTGCCTCTTCTTGCTATTACAGGTTTGATGGCAATTTTGTCCTAGTTTACCTCTTGACACTTCATTTTCCTCTACCAGCTCAACTGCCACCCTAGGCTTTGGGAATAATCCTCATCCCTTCCACTCACAACCAGCCACTCGTCCCACTTGATTTTCTAATGGCATTTTAGGTTCTCGACCACGTAACCCAAATTCATCTCAGGCATACCTTGTTTCTAATGGCAGCCTTCAAACTCAACCATCAGCTATGGCCATGACTTCTTTTTCTCCTGGTTCAAATTTGTGGTATCCAGACTCAGGAGCATCCAATCATGTCACCAACATGTCTTAAAATATCCAACAATTCACCCCCTTTGAAGGACCAGATCAAATTACAATTGGCAATGGTCAGGGTCTTCCCATAAATTCTTCAGGTGTTACTACTTTTTCTTCCCCTTTAAAACCTCACATTTTCCTTACTCTCTGTTGTAATTAGAGGAAAATCTTCCTAATTAGAGAAAATATCTGTAGAATCTTCTAATTTATTTTTCAGAATATTTTTTCCTTGTTTCCTTATTTTGGAAGATTAGATTGTTACAAATAGGTGTTAGGAAAATGTAATACAAATAATTGATAATAACAAAAATCATTCTCCTTTTCAAGTCTCTCAATAATCTTCTTTATGTTCCCAATATTACCAAAAATCTCATCAGTGTGAGTCAATTTTGTAAAGATAATTCTATCTTCTTTGAATTTCACTCAAGCTTCTGTTTGGTTAAATCATAGGACACTAAAGAGACTCTTCTCATGGGAGTTGTTGGCCCTGATGGCCTGTATCAATTTCCCTCTTTGCTTCAACCAAGACAACAAACAACACTTACACCCTCTGCTCACATAGCTTCTTGTAATTCTGTTTCTTATGCCACTTGGCATTCTAGACTAGGACATCCACACAATGATGTATTGAAATCTGTATTCAAACTTTGTAACTTTCCTATTATCAATAAAACTGTCTCTGATTTTTGTACTCCTTGTTGTCTTGGCAAATCTCACAAATTACCATCTACATTATCCAAAACAATATATAATACACCTTTTGAACTAATATATAGTGACTTATGGGGCCATGCACCATTTATATCTGATAATGGTTATCAATATTATGTTACTATTGTTGATGCACATACTCGGTTTACTTGGATTTTCCTTCTCAAATGCAAAGCTCATACGCTTGATGTTTTTAAACAGTTTCATGGTATGATTCAAAATCAATTTCAATTACCTATTAAAGCTATTCAAACTGATTAGGGAGGAGAATTTCGTTCCTTCTCCTCCTATCTCCTCCTGGTTTTGAATCATCTGATAAGAATTTTGTTTGCAAACTTCATAAGGCAATTTATGGTCTTAAACAAGCACCACGTGCTTGGTTTGATAAGCTTAAAGCTACATTGTTTCAGCTTAACTTTCAGATCAACAAGTGTGATCCTTCCTTGTTTGTTTATTCCCATGATAACAATGTAATCTACATTCTTGTTTATGTAGATGACATTATTATCACTGGCAATAATTCTTCTATCCTACAGAATATTATTTCCCAACTCAATTCAGCCTTTTCCTTCAAAGATCTTGGTCGCTTGGATTATTTTCTTGGCATTGAGGTCAAATCTAATTTTGATGGCTCACTTACATTAACCCAAAGCAAGTATATTTGTGACCTCCTCAATCGCACTAACATGGAAGATTCTAATCCTTTTTCTTCACCATGATTAGTGGGTGTAAATTGTCTAAAACAGGTTCTGAAAAATTCTTATATTTATCCTTATACAGATCTGTGGTTTTTGCATTACAATATGCAACCATCACTAGACCTGAAATCAGTTTTTCTGTTAATAAAGTCTGTCAATTCATCTCTAATCCACTTGAACAACACTAGTCTGCTATCAAACACATCCTTCGCTATTTAAAAGGCACTATGTTCTTGGGATTACATCTGCAACCAGCTCCATCCAACTCTCCTTTGTCTATTCAAGCATATTGTGATGCTGACTGGGCTTCTGATCTTGATGACCGAAGATCCACCTCTGGTGCTTCTATTTTTGTTGGACCCAATCTCATCTCTTGGTGGTCCAAGAAGAAAACAGTTGTTGCTCACTCAAGCACCGAAGCAGAATACAGGAGTCTTGCCCTTGCCACTGCTGAAGTCTTGTGGATTCAAACTTTACTATCTGAACTGCATGTGTCTCATCATACACCTATTGCCTATTGTGACAATATGAGCACTGTTGCATTAGCCCATAATCCTGTTCTTCATGCTCGGACCAAGCATATGGAGCTGGATCTCTTCTTTGTTCGTGAAAAAGTTGTTGCCAATCTTCTTCAAGTTGTTCATGTTCCAGCTATTGACCAATATGCTGACATTCTTACTAAAGCGTTGTCTCCAACTCGTTTCTGTGAACTTCGGACCAAGCTCAAGTTAGTTGACTCTGCACATCACCCTACTTGATCTTGCGGGCGGATATTGGAGTATATAACTTTACTACTTAATATTGTATTAGATATAATATTGTATAGTGTCATTCTTTCTGTCATTTTCTGTTTTAGCTTTGGTTACCTGTTCAACAGGTTACTGTTTCTATAACTTCTTCTAGAGGCTATTGAAACATATATACATAGGACTATTGCATTACAGATTCAACTACTGAAATAACACAAGATTTTCTTCCCTGTTAATCTGTCTCTGTCTCTCTCCTTCTTTCTCTCTCTAATTTCAATACCCAGAAACTTGGGAAAACCAGTAGATTTCAAAACCCATGCAAACCTGCTGGACCGATCACACGGGTCCAAAACTAATGAAAACTGATCTAGGAATGGTGTGGAAAACCATGTTGAAAACCGATCTAAGAATGATGTAGAAAACCGGGTTGAATCAATAGCATTTCAATACTGTTTTTTTTTTAATCTTAATATATTTTTTACAAATTTTTTTTATTTTAAAATATTTATAATGAATAAAAATATATTTGTTAAAGATTATAAATTGGAATAAATTATTTTATAATTTTTTTTAACAATTTTCATATAAAGAATAATTTAGTCATTTATATTAATTTACAACTTTTATATTTTGATATTTTTCAATTTATTGCACATTAATTTAACATTTTTTTAATTTATATGTAAATTTATTATTATTAATGGACATTATTATATTTTGTTAAATTAAAACTCAAATATTATATTTGGACTTTTATATTTACTTTAATTATTAAAGTTTTATTTTAATTTTAAGTGTTATTAAATCATAATATTTTATTTATTTAACATTATTTATATATAACTTAATTATTATTTTATTAATATTGATTTAACTATGGTCGAACTAATGAACCTTGAACCAATGCCTCGATCATTCAATCTGTCGGATTTTGAAAACATTGTTTTTTTTTTGTAACTAATAGTCACCAACAGTTACTATCATTGAGCAACAACACCTACATGCGTGTTTGTCTTGTACAAAGCAATTTAATCAAACAAGTTCAGTATCCTTTTTTCTTTTCATCATTTTCTCACTTTTACTTTTCAAATCAGCATTCTCAACACAGGCCAACTCATCATTTGTCTAACATTTTGAAATCACCCCATCATTACACTTCTTTTAGTATTTGGTCCACAACTTAGTCATGTCTAGATTTCCATAGACTACTTTATGAAGATGTAGGAAATAGTCTGTTAGGGCATAGCCTAATCAGCAATATATCCAAACATTAACTTTTTGGGAGTGAGATGGTGGATATTTTATCCTACCTCCTTTTCTATCCTTTAAATAAATCTTTTGATAAAGTACATACAACAAGAAGCTCAAACATATAGGAATCAAGTACCTTGAAGAAACCTGAGAAAAGCATATGTAATGAATATAGTCATAACATTTTCAAAGGCATCTGAATTAAAAAACACGCCAACAGGTCCCAAGGAACTCCATGCTATGATAATCATTGCCTGAAACAAATACTTTCATATTTGAAAAAAAAAAAATTGCATACTAAAGTTTCAAGACTTAACCATAGCTCTAGACATTCCATTAAAATCAACATAGAGAACATTCCACATATCCAAATACTATGATTACCTGTAGTGCCAATATAAAGAATATCCACATTCGATCAAAACTCCTATACAAATGCAAAAAGGTTCGAACTTCAACAAAATTTGTTTTGGACTTCCTCTTATAAACTCCAATGGTTGCTTGGCTACGTCCCTGTTATTGACCGTGAGAATATTTACATATAGTATTGCTTATAATCATTGCAATAATTTTATTAGTCTAGAAGGAAAATACAAATAGATTGTATATATGTATATTCGACCTTTAAGAGTAGGGAAAAAGAAGAACAAGAACAACAAGAATGAATAAAAAATAAATAAACACCTATCCATTAAAGACCATTTAGCTTGAGCAATAGATCTTATGTTCAATCATTACACACATGACATGTCTCTAGTTCAATAAAGGTCATTCACGACCTATCCAACAGAATATGTTGGATACCAAAGTAATAAAATAATAACTCTTAACTAAAATAAGAGATGAGAAAATAGGAATTAACACAATTTTTACGTGGAAAACCCTCAACTGACCAGGGAAAAACCACGAGCAAGACTAGAGAAATGTTTTCACTAAGTGGAAGAGAAATTACAACCCCTCTCTAAATACAAGGAGAGAACAATAACACGTTCTCTCTTATAATAGGAGAATACACTCACTTAGAGACACTCTTGCTTCTAAGTCTCAAATGAGGAGTTACAATTTGGGATGCTAAAAATGAAGCATGGCACCTCCTATTTGTAGCGTAAGGATGAAGCATGGCTATTAATGCATGGTAGAATTTTTCTACCGCCCAACCAGCTACTGGGTGAAGTAAGTCTATCAAGTTGAGCCTGAGTTGGAACATAGGAGATAATCAAGGACTTGTTAAGAACTCTTTCTCTGACAAAGATATCAAGTTATATATGCTTGGTTCTGGAATGAAGAACTAGATTTATGGCTAAGGGCAATGGTACTCTAATTGACGCAGTACATAAATGGTGTCGAAACTTCAACTTTAACTCATTGAGCAAAGATTGAACCCATAAAACTTCAGATGTAGCCAATGCTAGACTTCAATATTCAGCTTCAGCAATGGCTCTTGTTACTAGAGTTTGTTTTCTAGACCACCAAGAAATAAGATTGGGTCCAAAAAATATGCAAGCACTTGAGGTAGAGCTACGATCATCTATATCAAATGCCCAATCAGAATTTGAGAAACCTTATAGAGTTAGAGGAGTAGTAGCAGTTGTTGGTTGAAGACAAAGACCAAAACTAATAGTCCTTCTAAGATAGCTTAAGATGCACTTCTTGGCAGTCCAATGAGATTTTAAAGGTTGTGCCATAAATTGGCACACCTTATTTATTGCATATCCAATTTCAGGGCAAGTAATAGTCTTAAGAAAGTGGGTTTGGACCTAACTCAACCCTACAAAACCAACTTGTAAGACAAGTGTTTCCCTCTATTTACTCTTTAATTGTCTTATCTCTAGTCAATGTGAGACTTGGGTTTTTCCTAATACATCTCCTCATGTCCAATATTATTGATCTTGGTACGTGAATAAATTATAGGTGGCACTTTTGAATAATCTATAATAGGCGGGACTTGAATTTTTTCTCAATACACCCCTTTGCACTCAGCACTATTGGACTTAGTATATGTATCAATGGTAGATGGCCCTTTTTAGGGTGGATCTAGATAGTTTTGATACCATCTTAGAACGTGAGTTATAGGCCTAACTCAACCCTATAAAATTGACTTGTAAAGTGAGAGTTTCCCTCTACTTATATACTCTTTAATTGTCTTATCTCTAATCGATGTGGGACTTGAGTTTTTCCAAATAAATAGTGACATATTGAACAGCCCTAACTATGAATCTGTAACTGATAGGATCATCAAAATAGACATTACCCAAATCGAGACAACTTGATATTAGATTGAAGAGTGGATATGCCTTTTACAGAGTCCATATCAGCCCTTTTTAAAAGATCTCTAATATAATTAGCTTGAGTAAGAACAATAAATCCTAAATCTGTGTTTTTCACTTTGATGCCTGGAAAATAATTCGAGCCAGCAAGTTGTTTAAGAGCAAAATCATCATTCAACTTTGAGATAAATTCTTGAACTAGACAAAAACAGTTCATGTAATTATGATATCTTCAACATAGATGAGTGTGTAGATACAAACTCATCTAAACTTCAGAGTTTGCTGCGCCTTAACCTCTGTTTCTACTCCATTTTCACTTCAAATTCACTCAAGGAAGGTCCAAGGGACTTGGATGCTGAGGCATAAAATTCTGGTGAACAGGTGCATAGGCAGGATTGAACCTGTGATAATAGTAAGAAGTTTCATGACCAAACTTATAGAAAACTTGGCATTGAATATTTCCTCAACCTGAACGGCCACTTCTACCACCTCCTCGGCCAAATCAACCACCATGATATGCTTGGAAACCAGAAGAATGAGAATTATCAACTGTAGACTGAGGTGCAGTGCCAGCAAGATTAACTTGAGGTGCAAGCGAACGGTTGAAGCCTATAAAGGAACAGATTCAACTAGTTTGGATTGCGTCAAATTCAGAGTAGAAACAGAACCAACAACATTTTTTTGTTTATTAACATGACTTTCTTGAGCTAACAAAAAAGATTCAACATCATCAAAGTCAAACCAATCAGGTTTGCTATTCACCAAAGTAACTAGGGATTCATATTCGAGAGGCAATCTTTCAAGAAGAACATCAAGTTTCTCTTGTAAAGAAACAGTTCCAATGGATAATTGTGAATTGGTGATAGATTTATTTGAGTTAGAATCTATGACATAGATCAGACACCTTTTCTGGTGCTACGAAGCTCTAAACGAAGATGATGAGCATGTGCTTTGGCCTTCGAATGGAAGTGATGATGAATTTTCTCCCATAATTGCCGGGAGTAGAGACAACAAATAACTTGGTAAAATTGATGATCTTAATGACAATTGAAACCATGTGAGAAGGAGTTGATCAAGTAACTCCCAAGCTACGAATGCTAGCTTCTCTTCATCAGGAAGATGATCTTCCTCAGTGAGAGATAGACTCAGAATTTCAGGTGAAGCACAACACCTATGAAGTTTGTGCGCATGATACACTAGTTCAACTTGCTAGATCCAAACAAAGAAATTATCATTTCTGTAATTAAAAATGAAAACAAAGAGAAGTGCAGCAAAATCCATGTTGAAAATGTCAAGTTTTGCAGCGGAGAAGGATTGGAAGCCATGCAAGACTTCAGAAAGCTCTGGATACCATGTAGAAGTTCAGAGAAAAGAGAGAGAAAGAGAAAACTGATTCTGTTAATATTGATATTGTGGAACACTTCAATGAAACAGATCAGGTTATATAGTTACAAGGAAAGAGTACAGAAGAAGCTAAGTAGTTATGCTGATGTGGCAACAGCCAATCAGCGTACAGAAAGACTAACAAACAGTCTAACTAACTATGCTGACATGGCAAACCACCACTCAGCTTACAACCAAAAGAGAACAACTCTACTACTCTATTAAATCCTGTAGTATTTTTTTCCACTCTCATTGTGTCCTCAATACCTTATACCATGGGGATGATAGTTGGACTTGCGAAAGATTATGGCATGTCATATTTTTTTTTTGCGATGCATGAAGACTGATGGTAGTACCATAAAAAAGGTGTTGCCTTCCAATCAACAAGTCTTTTAGACATCCACTTTTTAGTATGCTTATGTCTTTACTCTCATTTGTTTACAAAAGAGTCGGTCTATTTTTTCACTGTGAGGATGGTTGTCAATTTTCAAAATACCACCGTGCAACGTTTCCTCTTATGTTTGACTAAATACTTGTCCTTTGTTTGTGTTTCAATATCATTTGGATGTAGGCCCCTAGATTTGGTCTAAATTGGCGAAAGTTGTTGCAATTACTAGTTTATAGTCCCTCGCATGCCGATCTGAGGTTTGATATAAAGTTTAGGCAAGAACAAATATCATGCATGTCCTAGGATAGTACATTAGAATACATCCATTAGAGATGGAAATCACATATAATAGCATGAAAAGATCTTTGAGAAAGGAGAACATTCTAAACTACAAGAACAGTAAGTACACGTTCCCTTGTTAAGTCAGACGAATCAATTCCCAACAAAGTTTTGAATGAGAAAAATATAATACATATTGTTATTTCTAACATGTGTGTTAGTGTTTCAGAAAAACATAAGTACAGGCAAGTTGAAGAACAAAGCATGTGCTAATTCTTATACTAGAGCCAAGATAAAGGAAGGAAAGCTTCAAGTATCAGATGAAGAACTAGTCAAAGCACAACACAAGGATCAAACGAAGTAAAGTCAAATACAAGATGAAACAGGACATGAGCACCAGACGATGTGGGATCAAATACCAGACGATGGTGTGTCAAGCACAACCTATAGCGCAACATAAGGACTCAGACGAAGGATATTCAAGAATCAGACTAAGAAACAATCTAACGAAGGACAGCACAGACAGAAAAGCATTCCAAATGGAAATGAAGTTTGTCCATCTACAATGTTGACCAGACAAAAGGAAGTCAAAGCATTGATGACAAATGCTCAGACAAAGATCAAGTCTTGAGATGCACATGCACTACAAGAATTTTGCGGATTAGCGAGGGAATTTAGAGAGGGATATAAATCCAAGTTATTTGCTCGCTAATTAGTGAGGGATTAGAGAGGAACTGTTCCTCTCTAATCCCTCGCTAATTAGCGAGCAAATAGCTTGGATTTATATCCCTCGCTAAATAAGATCATTTTGCGACCAACCTTTATCTCCTCGCAAATCCGTCGCTAAAGTTAGTGCTTATTTAGCGAGGAACTTAGGCCCTTGCAAATGTCTTGCAAATCCCTCGCCAAATTATGAGCCAAAATAAAAAAATGAATTTTTCATCTAGCGAGGGAGTTTTCTTGTCGCAAATCCCTCGCTAATGAGTTATAAGTATAGCCCTCGCAAATGCCTCGCAAAGCCTTCGCAAATTAGTGAAGGAAAAGTTTTTTCGCTAATCCCTCGCAAATTTAGAGAACAAGACCCTCGCAAATTGCTATTAACTCCCTTTTGCGAGGGAATGGCGAAGGTTTTGCGATGCGTTAGCGAGAAAATATCAAATGCAATTAGCGAGGGAATTTGGGTTCTACATTTGCGAGGAGATAGTGATGAATTAGCGTCACAAATTTGCGACAGATTAGCGAAGTCGTTTGCGAGGGAATGGCAAAGGAATGTAGTGAGGGAATTATATATATATATATATATATATATATATATATATATATATATGTATGAGTGTGTATGTCTATTTTATACAACTGGAAATAAGAGCTGAAAATCTTGTTACATTAATGTCAGACTTCATTCTTTGTTTTTTATGTACTCTTGATTACCAATAAGCACGTGAATTTGTTTGGAATAAGTGTCTGTTATTAAAGTGTAATCTAGAAATTGATTTGTCTCTCCCCTTCCTCTTTATTTATAGGCAACAACATGTATTATTTTTCCCATCTAAATAACTAATGTAACTTACTATTTATTTGGTGGCAACATCGTGTCTTATTTCGTCTATCATGTGGCAAAGGGGTATTTCTTGTGTGGAGAGTTTTGATTAGCAATGTGGGTCTTGATTGGCAAATGGTGTGGTTTTCTGCCCAGGTGAGGAGACTGAAGCAGGAGTAGAATCACATGGCTCAAATGAAGAACCATCGGGAGGAACAACAGTATGAGATCGACGCTCATATGTTATCCCAAATCGGTGTAGAGGATGGTCAGACCCTGGTAGTGCGGGAGGATCTGGTGCCTCTAAAGTAGCAAGTGTGGTAGGAGGCAGACTATGATCAAAATGAGGAATAGGCAATACCTGAGAGAGGAGATCTGAGTCAACCGGAGAGACATCTGTGGCAATAAAATATGGTGTATCTTCAAAGAAAGTGACATCTACACTGGTGTAAAATCGATGCGTAGCAGGAGAGTAACAACGGTACCCCTTTTGGACACGAGAGTATCCTAAGAACACACATTTGATGGCCCGAGCAGACAGCTTAGCACTTCCTGAGAAAAGATCATGGACAAAACAAGTACAGCCAAAAACACGAGGATGAATAGAATAAAGGGGATCCAATGGGTATAATAGGGAATGAGGTACTTGATCATTCAAGACAGACGATGACATTCGATTTATTAAATACCCTGCAATGAAGACAGCATCGCCCCACAAAGTAGCAGGTGTGGTAGGAGGCACACTAATCAAAATGAGGAATAGGCAATACCTGAGAGAGGAGATCTGAGTCAACCGGAGAGACATCTATGGAAATAAAATATGGTGTATCTTCAAAAAAAGTGACATCTGCACTGGTGTAAAATCGATGCATAGCAGGAGAGTAACAACGGTACCCCTTTTAGACACGGGAGTATCCTAAGAACACACATTTGATGGCCCAAGCAGACAACTTAGCACTTCTTGAGAAAAGATCATGGACAAAACAAGTACAGCCAAAGACACGAGGATGAACAGAATAAAGGGGATCCAATGGATATAATAGGGAATGAGGTACTTGATCATTCAAGACAGACGATAGCATTCGATTTATTAAATACCCTGCAGTGAGGACAGCATCGCCCCACAACTTTGGGGGTGCATTGGCATTCAATAAAAGAGTACGAGCAGTGTCCACAATATGTCTATGTTTTCGCTCAGCTACACCATTTTGTTGAGGTGTATGAGGGCAACTAGATTGATGTAGAATGCCATGGGAAGCCATAAATGATTTGAAGCAATCTGAAAAATATTCTTTAGCATTATCACTTCATAAAATCCGAATTACTTTGCCAAATTGAGTTTTGATATCCGAATAGAAACTTAGGAAAATGTTGAATAACTCAGAACGATTTTTCATTAAAAATATCCAAGTACATCTAGAAAAATCATCAATAAAGGTGACGTAATACCTATGTCCTAAAAGAAAAGGAATGCGACTAGGACCTCAAACATCAGAATGAATAACATCAAAAAGGAGACATAGCTCGACTATTAATACTATTAGGAAAAGAAGCTCTAACATGCTTCCCTAATTGACACGACTCACTCTAAGGACACCAACCGTGAGAGATGAGGTACCATTTTCTTTAATTTATTCAAGCTTGGATGACCCAGGCGACGATGAATTAAACCAGGAGACTCAATAGATGCACATATGGTAGAGGTAGAAGGCTGAAGGTAGTAGAGACCATGTGATTCAGATCCGGCTCCAATCGTCTGTCCCGTACTCCGGTCCTGTATCAAGAAAGAATCAGAAGTGAAGGTTATGACACAGTTTAGTGACCGAGTCAACTTACTTATAGAAATCAAATTAAAGGGACATCCAGGAACTAGTAAAACAGATTTTAATGGTAGTGATGGGAGAGGTGATATTTGGCCAATACCAGTGGCTTGAACTTTTGACCCATCTGCAAGAGTGATATGATGTGGAGTTTTAGGTGATGATAGGTTAGGGAAAAGGGAGACATTACCAGTTAGGTGATCAGAAGCACCGGAGTCCAAAACCCAAGGTCCAATAGACGTAGAATGAGAGAGACAGACTGTAGAATTACCAGTATGAGCAACAGTGATGGAAGAAGAGGCCTGTTTAGTTGCCTTGAATTGAAGATACTCTTGGTAATCATCGGTAGATAATGTGATTGGATGATTGCCCTCCGGTTCAATCTTGAGCTCTGGAGCTGAAGTTGGAGATTGAGCCACATTAGCTGTCTTGCTTGGAAAGCCATGCAAGGAATAACACCTATCTCGTGTATGTCCATCTCTCTGACAGTAGGTACAATGGAGGTTTCCTCTACCCCCTTTACCGCGACCACGACCTCGACCACGCCCTCGACTTCCACGGTCAGCTGTGCTAGAGATAAAAGCAGAGGACTCAGATTCTGTGTGAGGATCTGCCTCTGGTGAAGGGACCCGAATCAATCGATCTATGAGTTCTTCTACTGTAGGAATGACAGGATTTGTCAAGATTTGATCTCGAACAGATCCGTAATCTTTGTGGAGTCCTTGAAGGATAAACACCATAAACATATTATCAAGTTTGTTTAATATTTGTTGAGGATCATCACTAACCAACATTAGCTTGAGCTCATCAATAGTGGATTGAGCACGATTCAAATACGTTGGCAAATCATTATCAACCATACGAAGAGTTGCCAGACCATGAACAGACTCGTATATTCTTTGGATATCATTGGCATAGACATTTCGAGCCTTCTTCCAAATATCATAGCATGTCTTGTACGGACGAAAATGCACCATTAATTTAGGCTCAATGGACTGCCACAATAGAGATACAAGTTGATAATCTGCCCGTTGCCATTCATCTCTCACCTCTTTATCAATTTCGAACACCCTTTTAGTAAGATGATCATAGAGACCCTGACCTAAAAACCACATTTCAACCGCAGTGGACCAATCCAAATAATTTTTACCATTAAGCTTTTCAGATGTAATAGTAGGTGATCCAGAAAAGGCAAAGGAGACCAGCCCCCTTTTTGGAAGATTCAATTTTTGGATTCTCCCTAGGAATCTCTGCCATGAAGAGAAAAAGAAGAAAAAACAGCAAACAATCAGTCACGAAACTCCGAGGTAGCAACCAATCAACCACAGAACTCCGAGGAAGCAACCAAACCACCACGGAACCCCGAGACAGCAACCAAACAGCCACGGAACTCCGAGACAGCAACCAAACAACCACGAAACTTCGAGGCAACAACCAAACGACCACGAAACTCTGAGGCCGCAACCAAACGACCACCAACGGACCACCTAGAGTGTGACCCACAACCTGAAAAGGGTCAAAACGAGAAGAGGGAGGGCCGGCGAGTCCAACGGAGTGAACCGCGTCGCAAACGGAGGCTGGGAGGGCAGCGCGTGAAGCCCACGCGCCGGCGAGCTTCCTCAACAAGAACCGCGCGTGAGAGCACGTGAGACGGCGGCTGACGGTGGCTCGCGACGGAGAGGCCGATCGGCGACCTCTGAGTGTGCAGGCAGTGTCAACTCCGGCAACCGCGAACAAAACTCGAAAACCATAGAAACCCTAGATGTTGGCTGCTGGATTAGGGTTCCTGGACCAGAGTGCTCTGATACCAACTTGAATATGAATAATTTCTTATTATTGAATCTGAATGAGTACAATAAAATAAATAGGCATAAAATATAATCAATCTCTAAAGTTTAGGGATTTAGATAAAACTGACTAAGGAAACTAAACTAGAACTTAGGAGAAGATAAACTAGTATATCTAAACTATATCTTATAGAATTATCTTAACATAAATCTGAATATATTAAGAAATTCTGGTCTAACAATTGACAGTTGAAAAATAAGCATAACACATACAGACAGGAAAGAATTAAAAAGAAAAGAGAGAAAATAGATACAGACCCGACGTGCTGTCTCATGTGTCTCATCTGAATGCCTAAAAAAATCTGCTTTGGAATTCAATGGCCAGCTTAGATCATGAAAACATTTGTTTGACCTGAAAAGGCACTTATTTGAGATTCTTGTTATCCAAATGAAAAAATAAATAAATAAATAACTTTTTGCACTGTTTCAAAACTCGAGTTTTCATTATTTGATAACTAAAAGTTTAATGAAACACTGACCAAAAATATTCATTGAGATCATCATAATTTCTCCAATTGGAATGACTTGCCTTGCCTTTGTTGTTTCTCTTTGCTTCCTTTTTCACCAAATACAGAAAAAAGTGTCAGGAAAACATTAGAAAACATGCAGCAAAACTAATATGATTATATAGCTGCATCAGACTGACCTTCATCAAAACTTGATATATTGGACTTATAACTTCCCTCAGAAAAAATTCATCATCACGTCCTTCTAGCTGCTCTTTGCTCCCAGTCACAGTCTCAAATAAAATCGTATAGATTTCACGGGACATCTTCGGGGGAAAAATGCAGAGAGAGTCATTAACATTGCACCAAACAATCTACACCATGCTTGCTATGTTACTATAAAAAACGTGGTACACATTTACGAGTTTTTTTCACTTATTAAAAGATTCATTTTACTTTTATTTAATAATGAATACATACAATATCTCGTACATGTTTTAACATATTATTTTACAGTTAAACAATACCCGTGTCTATGCATCTTTCATTACATTACAATAATTTTCTAATTAATAATTTAATATAATTATATAATAAGTTTGTGTGAATATATTTTAACAAGAAATATATATATATAATCCCACATACATTAAAGAACATTAGTCTAGCATAATTGCTGTCAAAAAAACACATTTGTGTAGCATAAATAAAAAATTAGTAATTATAATATCTTAAATCTCCTATGCTGATAAATGAAAAAAATTAAACCAGCTGAAAAATTAGTTGCAGCTCCAACAACAACACATGAGAAACCTGTCCAAACTAATAAATGATATGGAGATTGAACACTATAATGTTATTTATATTGATTTTTATTTTTTTTCCTTTTTTGCCATAATATGTTGAATCTAATTCAGTTTGCCTTTTTTTTATATTGAATTTATCCAAGTTACTTCCTCGATCTAACGGTATTTATATTTTAGATACATGTAACTAATTATGCACACATAATTGTTTCCTCTATTTTCACATGTGAAAACCAATATTTGTTGTCTTAAAATAAAATTTAGTGACCTTTTTAATTTATACTCTCCTGCCATTATGTTTGATATTTAAGGTTTTGATACAAAAATTATGAAATGTAATTAATATGTCACATTTCATAAAAACTTTACAAAAAGAATATTACATAATTTACTAATATATCTTTTATTTTTCTTATTAATTAGATTCTCTATCACATGCACTTCTTTCTTATTTTCTTACTGTGCAATAAATGGTTAAAGATATAATAGAGAAAAAAAAATTAATGATTCATTATAAATGTGAGCAATAATAAAAATAGAACAAAAATGTTACTAAACTGTTAAACAAATGGGATAAAGAAAATAGTTAATGACCATTTTAACACAAGTGCAGATACTACACGACTTGTGTGATTGCATGGGTCAACATACATACTAGTTGGATATAAAGAGTTGATTCTCGCAAATGTTGTGGTCTCAAAATTCACCGGAGAAATGTCTCCATCCGACAAACTTACTTGTTGCATTTCATTTGTGATTTTCACATGAAGCTATTTAGTTGAAATTTATAAATTTAGGAACTTCATGAGAGGGAAGTGATGCCCTGAGGAAATCTTCTTCCTTTTAAAAGACATTTGGCTATAACATTAACATATAAAGAGGAAAGGTGAATTTTTTGGGGTGTATAGAAGAAGGCTTTGCCTAAAATTAGAATGATATTATTTGTTTAATCTGAAAATACAATATACTCTGTTCTGTATTCATGAGATATCTTCCTGCTTAATTTCAATGATTTCATTCTCTATGAGAAGAATAATACAAGAAATTAAATATATTAATGATAGTTTAATGTGGTGTCGCTGATGGAGGTGAGAATGATGGTCTAATGATGTTTAAAAAGGTATGACACAAAGCATTTCGTTTCACATAATGCAGTTTAAGTTTGTTATACGCATAAGATTAAAATGATGGACTTACAGCGCAGGCACAGCAGAGAAGAATGAATGATATGTTATTAATAATGTTTTACAGTCAGTAATAGAAAACTTACATGATGGAAAATATAGCAAAGACACTCAGGCATAAAGCGAATATTTGAAGCTTCTCCCCATATTAGAAGATAAAGTGCGATATAAATCAACTCCATCTGTTGCTTGTCATAATCCTCTAGAAACCTATATAGTGTTAAGAAACAAAAAAATTATGCACTAAATTAATTAAAGAGCTCTTCTTAGTATATAAACATTTTATGAAGCACAATATATTTAGAGTAGGCTTGCACGCAAGGGTTCAGAGAAAAATGGAAGAGGTTAATTAATTTTTTGGTTTTAAATTAAGAGTTTAAAAACATTTATATAAAAGAATAATGGATGATTGGAAAGTGCATGGTGATATTTCACATTTTTCTTCCATTTAAAAAATAAAATTTTAATTCAAATTGAAAACTCAATCTTCCCTTCTCTTTCCCAACTCTCCTCAATCCAAACTTACTCTGAAAGCTCAAAACCATTGGTCATATAGCCTCACAATAAAACACTCAATTACCTAAGATTGGATTCACAATGTAGATAATCACACCATGACTTATAATTTTTGAAAATTGTAGCCATCAACTTTTCCACAGTTTCTGCATGGAGCTGCAACAAGATTCTTGTTAGCTTTTAATATGATACGAGGAACAGTAATCACAACCTGGAAATTTAGCATCACCCTGTTCATTAAATATGAAAAAACAAAAACTAGAAAACAAAAGCTTTTTGCAGGAAATAATAGTTCACCTGATTAGTTGATTCAGCACTGTTCCTTATATTCATGTTGGCAAGTAATAATATAAGGTGCTCCCTTTGATTTGCTACATTTCCTTTCTTCATATCCCGAAACAGAAGGAGACATCAAATCAGATTATTCACCAGAAATGGCATTAAAAACATAAATAGTTGTATTCTTCATTGCTGCTAACAATAAAAATTGAAAAGTATAACTTTGGTACAAAAGAGAGATTCCAATTCACTCTGAAACATACAAGAAGATAAATATAAAAGAAAACAATACAAGAAAAAGTTCTATATGCTCTCAACATAACTCTATGTATGCGGTATTACTGTAAGTTAGAACCCATTAATGTTATGAGAAGTAGTAATTTAAGCAGTTTTTTTATTTTCAATATCCCATCCTAATTCATTTATAAATTTACTAGTGACGTCGAGAGAATTTGTGTCTCTATTTATTTTCTATAAGAAAAATAATATTTTTAGAAACAATTGAGTAGTTACTTGAAAAGAATAAACTATTTGAGACCAAAATGACATTGGGAGAGAAATAGTAATTTAAATTTCTAAATAAAATAAAGAGTAAAATAGTTCATATAAAAATGGAGAAACAAACAATTATTAAAAAAAGTATTTCCGATATAAATGTTAGAGTGCTTCTAGCATGAAGTACTTATAATATGCCTCATCCATATACCACTAAATTGGCCTATTATTGCTGGTTAAAATCGGAAGAAAAAAAAATCACCTCCTCAGGCTGCCATGCCGCCACGGTCCCTGCCACCTAAAAATTCACCACCCCCTACGACAGCACCACCCCCAAAAACTCCACTCGGTCGCCGTCACAACCGGTTCACTTGTGCCGCTGACAAGGTCATCACCGCCGGCGTCGCGCAAGGCCATGGCCAACGAGGACGTCGACCCGAGCGAGCTGCGGCAGAGGACGATGGCACGATTCTTGGAAGGAGGGAGAAGCAGTTATTGCCGCCATCGGCACCAATCCCATCCACCCCTCCTACATCGCCGCCACTGGCGTCGCGCAAGGTTGTGGGCGGCAAGGACGTCGACGCGCGTGAGCTGCGGCGGAAGACGGTGGTGCGGTTCTTACAGGATCTCGGATCTGCAAGCCTTGAGGAGAGACGCAACCGGCACCAGCCCCATCCACCCCCTCCTACATCGCCGCCACCGGTGTCACACAAGGCCATGGGCAGCGAGGACGTCGACACGCGCAAGCTGTGGCGGAGGACGTGGCACGGTTCTCACTGTCAAGGTTTGGAAGAAAACCAAATCTTCTGGTTGCCAGTCACAAATCTCAACCATTCAATTTTTAAATAATATATCCAATAGTGAAAATTACTGCTTCATCCATGTACCACATTTCTTCGTACTTCATGTTAGAATTTTCCATAAATTACACTACAAAACAACTACTAATTAGCATGGGTCAATTAGTATGTTTCCTATTAATTATTCAGTCTTTTTTTTCCTCTTCCTTGGCTTTCTTTCTTTGCTCACACCATTTTTGTTGCTCCCAGAGGCAGATGGTGGAAGGGCCCAGTCAGTAATCCCCAAACTTTAATCATTTTTTACCACTTTTTTGTGTTGCAAAGTGGCTGATGGATGGACGACAACAAGAGCAATCTCTGTTACGACTTTGGGAAGCCCAACCTTTTGAACTCGTATGCAAACTCGTTTTCCACTAGTAATCTCGAGCGAAATTGCACAAACTCAGCCAAAATTGCGAGTTTGTTGTGATTCTACATGTCTACGAGGTTCACTTAGAAAAGCCCCGAAACAACATGGAGACCTGCGTTTCTCCTTAGGTTTTCTTTTTCTTCTCATGATTCACACATCCCTCTCGATCGCGGCTGCAGAACAAACCCAAAACCCGCTGGATCTGTTCCTCAGCATCGCCGCATCAGGGCTTGTTCGCCTGTTCGTTTATCGGAGTCACATTCTCTGGTCAGCATCTTTGTTCTCCGGTTGGCGTCCCCTGCTTCGGGGTTGTTCTCATCGTGTCGTGTTTCCAGGGTTCTCATCGTCCCTGGCTGCCACTCAAGAAAATTTTTATTTGCCGTAATTTTAAGAACTTGTTTCTCTTGTGACGATTTGTTACTAAACTTTACTACTTTATTATTGTAATTTACTATTTTACTTTAACATAGAGTTGAAATCTTAAGTTATCAAGAAATAGAAGGGAAAGGGGGAGAAGATTTATTGTTACCTGAAACCCAACAACTGAGGCAATCCAATCAAGTATATCATTCACTTTTTTAAGCCTGTCCATAGGCATTGTAGAATCATCATTAGAACCATCAGGTCTTGCACGAATTACTGGAATTGGAAGATTATCCACCCTACATATAGCATCAATTGCTGCTTTGATCTATAATTTTCAAGAAAAAAAAAAAAGATTAAAATTTTAAAATATCAGGGTGGTTATATCATTAGCAGATGCAAAATAAACAATGCATACGTCTCAGATTCACAAACCTCGGGAAGTTCCATGATTGCTGGTTTAACACCAAGAGCATATAGTGGAAGAATGTTATAGTGTTCATATTGTCCCCTCATCTTCTCAACATCCTCACCATATCGTTTTGTCTGGCAATAAAACAACATCCTTAGTCCACATCCCCACTATGTTTAGAAGTATTTTAGATATTTTAGTCATGGTAGCATAATCAAGCAAAACAAACCTTTTCCTGAAATCTTTCTTAAGGTATTATAATCGTCATTGCTTCATACAATACAGTGGCAATGTGAACATTGTTAGCCATCTCCTCCCTTCAGGAGAAACATGAGAAGAATAAGACATTATAACACAATTCATAAAACTTGCAAGCACAAGTTTAAGATCAAGCCTCACGGTCTCTGGGTAAATTCTCCATCACGGATTTTCTTTTCATAGAATTGTAGGTAGTAGTCCTGCAGCTCTTTAACATCACTCTTTCTCCTCGGAAATTTCAGTGTAACCTCCTCTTCCTGCCACCCAGAAATTTTAAAAATGAAAAAGAGAAAATCATGTCATGTTGAGATTAATATTTATGTATTTAATCAACAGAAGATATCATTATACCAGCTCATAGATACCAAAGACAAGTACAAAACAGCACCTTTAAAAACTTTAAGAACTGTAAGAAAATAAATTTAGCCAGTGTACCTTCTCAAGTTTGGACAATAGGTAGGTCTTGAACTGACGAACACCCTGCCCAATTGATGTAGGATCAATTTTATAGGCCAGCTCAAATGCATGGAAACGACCTAATTAAAGTATTAAACAAGAAAAGAAACACCAGTATTCAGTACCATGTAATCTTCTGCAAATATAAGTTAAAAACACCTTTGACACACTGAATTTAGATGTTGAATTTGAATTTGTGATTACTGTCAGAGTAAAATTCCTCAAATAGAAACTAGCTTCAGTATGATACTTTGCAGTAAAGGCTTGTTTGGACATATTTTGACTAATATTTATTTTGCTATATCCTTTTTCTTCGGAGTGCTGTTAAACAGACCAAATTATTAGGTTCGCTGAAAATGCCCTTAGAAAAAAGTATTTTCAGTGAGTAGTTGAAGGTTCATCTCTCTCATGGAGACTAGATAGAAATGGTTAGTTTCTGCCAAATCAGAGACTTTGAAGTCTATCTATGAGAAACCACATGTTGGTTTTTTGAGAAATGAAGAGGTGCCCACTGGAGTTTAATCATATAAAGATACTCACAAATAAAGGCAACTCTTGGATTCTCCTTTTCAATAGCAAGGGCTGCTCTGAGAACAGGCACAAGCACAGAAAGTGAAGAAGGCACAATCTCAGTGACCAAAACACCTTCCTCGTCTCGGAAGTCGTCGACATTTATAGTATGAGCCCTCACAAACCTCTTTGTTGGCTGCCAATCTGTCTCAAAAGGACCCTTCGTGCCACTTGTGCTGGCCATGGTCCTGCCACCACCAATGCAACAAGGTTTAAGCTTTTTCCCTCCTTCACCACCCAAACAGAATCACAACTATTGGGATTTGAGTGAAGGGCAGGGGAAGCTGAATTTTCAATTCTTTTGGAGTTGGGTAGAAGAAGGAGCCAAAAAGATTGATACTTTGATTGAGAGTCATGTTTTGGAATTTCCATATTAGGATGGGAGGAGGAGGAGGGGGAAAATTATAATAAAAATAAAGAAGAAAAGAAAAAGGAAACAGAATGTGATGCAGATGCAACTTCTTTTTTCGCTGAGTTCTTTCTCTTTTGGTAATAAACAATTGAACAAACCAGAGATGAAAGTTCACTCTTAACAACCGGATTCCAATTGTTTATTTGTGAGAGAAATGAGAGGTGGTTCTTTGAAATTCAAACTGCGACTTGACGAATATGTTGATAGTACATGCCAAGAAACCTAATTAAGGACTTAAGGACTTTGGAGTTTAAAATGGAATAGGTATTACGAGTTTTTTGATCGGGAGACTATTAAATATGTGGGAGGTGGGCGAATTTCTTCGTATATATTATTCTATATTCTATATTTATTACTCTACTAATTTGTTATTTTATATTTATTTTTTTGTTCGTCCCTGAAGTATCCACCGTCGACAGCAGTGGCTAATCTCCTCGCTACGTTGGAGGCACCTCAAAGGGTGGGATAGCTGGTCCCAAGATTTAACGCGGCTGCATACACAAGGCAGGATTCAAACCCCTGACCTTGCTTAAGCGTGGATCAACCCCTACCGCTGAACCACACGGTTGGGGTTATTTTATATTTATTTATTAACAAATAAAGATTAACTAATCTTATTAATATGGAACTTGGTAAAAAAATCGGGTTTAATAACTGAAAAATTAGATTCTGAAAGAATATTCTTTGAATACTAAAATTACGTATTGAATTTGGATTCTTGTATCCATATTCAAAAAGTTTTTGTGATTATTGCCGAAGAACTGAAATAAAAGATAGGGTAGAGCTATGACAGTTATTGTATGGGGTCTACCCAATGCTAGATGCAAAGGCGCATAATAGATCGATAGAAACATTATGAGCTGTCCCGTAATAAACTCAGTGGTTGCTGATATTTTTTTCTCGGTCCCTTCTTCCACAAGCCGAGCTCGAAGAAGGAAGAGATAAGAGGGCTCTATGGAAAATGTAGTAAAAAATCCATAATAGAGTCCTACCACAACTATCAACTTACACCAAAATTTTAGAATAAAAAAATCACTCATTTTTTTTAATTTGGTTAATTTGTATAAAGGATATTATAGTAATTTAATTTAATTTTAAATAAAAATAAAATATTTTCTCTCTCTTATTAATTTCATTCTCTAAGTTATTTCTCTCTTATTAAATTTTTCCTCCAACTCATTTCTCTTTTCTATTAAATTCTTTCTCTAACTTATTTATTTCTTTTCTATTAAATTCCTTCTTTAACTCATTTCTCTTTCATCTCTCATGATGTCTCTCCTCTCTCTCTCTCTGAACAAATAAGTGTGATGTCTCTCCTCTCTCTCTCTCTCTGTGAACAAATAAGTGGGAGTATATTAGCATTCCCTTTTATATATATAGGAGAGTGCTAATATACTCCTACCTATTTTTTAGTTAGAGTATGTTAGCAATCTATACCAAAATTTTAGGATAAGAAAACTACTGATTTCTTTTGATTTGCTTAATTTGTACAAAGGATATTCTAGTAATTTAATTTAATTTTAAAAGAAAATAAAATATTTTCTCTCTCTTATTAATTTCATTCTTTAAGTTCTCTTTCTTCTATTAAATTTCTTCTCCAATCCATTTTTCTTTCCTATTAAATTCTTTTTCCAACTTAATTAATAAAAAAAGAAATAAATTAAAGAATGAAGTTAACAAGAGAGAGAAAATATTTTATTTTTATTTATAATTAAATTAAATTATTATAATATTTTTTGTATAAATTAACCAAATCAAAAGAAATGAATAATTTTTTTATCCTAAAATTTTAGTGTAGGTTACTAATATACTTCAACTAAAAAATAGGTAAAATATATATATATATATATAATATTATATAATTTTAAAATATTTTAAAAAATAATTTATAGACTTATTTTATATATTAAAAAATTTAATTTAAAAATTGATCATATAAATTTGATATAAAATATAAATTATTGAGTAGAATTACGGTTCTCTTTTAAAATCACACTTTATCTATTGTTCTCGCCTAGAATGACTTAGATGCTGATGTATCTAGATGAGATTCTCTGTCATTCACGGATTACAATGTCTCTTGATGAAATGCTTTCTTCTTCTCTTGGATTGGGGGCAATACCTTCCAAAAAAAAAAAAAAAAAACTCTGATCATCAAGTTAGTAAATTCATCTCTTGATACCTCTTAGTATATCATATGTACCTCTCTCCTCTTGAGAGAGATTGGACATTTTTACCTTTTGATAAGATATTTGTTGCAATTTTTGTATTACGAGTTATATAACTGAATTATCTTTTTTACCAGACCTTTTGACCGATATGTCATACAGATGTCCTCAACAATTCATATGGTCGAACTCGGTCAGGTCGGTACATCTATCATTAACTTAATCTCATTTGTTAGAAAAATTCACTCTTAACAACCAGATTCCAATTGTTTATTTGTGAGAAATGAGAAGCGGGTCTTAGAAATTGAAACTGCGATCTCATGAATATGTTAATTCATACATGTCATGAAATGTAATTAAGGACTTTGGAGTTTGGAGTTGTCATTCAATCTGTGTTTTTAGAAGAAAGACCCTTCCTAACATATTACGGAAAATAGATAAAGAGTGTTTATTCATATATATTTTAAAATTATAAATATATATTAAAAATATAAATTAATAATTTACATTATCAACCTGTCGTCCTTCAATAAGTTTGTTAGCTTTTCTAACTTTAGTACTCCTTACCATTCTCGGATTTGCAGGATGAATTGCCATCTGTCCCTGTACGTGCACCTTTTCTTCCTTTCCAGCAAGAATTGTTGAGATAGGGAGCCCTCTACTAAATGCTTGACTGAATAGCAAGCGGGTTTGCCACACTGATACAAACGTGAACCTTGACAAAAAGAATATTGGCATGAAGATTATTAATCCCATTACATAGTCATAAGCTCTGCATAGCTCTTTCACTGTGCCCCATAGTCTAACTCCTTTCAGCCATACCTTCCATGCTTGTGCAATCTTCATGAAAGCAAAGGAAAGAAGGAACATCAACATTTTTTGATGAATGAAGTACTTACATAGAAAATTTTCTAGGTTGGTTTGAAAGTAAAATATATGGCAATATTTCTTTAATCTGCCTAAAGACATGTCATACAATAACAAGTTAACCCAAATAATAAAGATTGTCTTTAACTCGTGTTTTTCTAGGATGCAGAAGGTCTAACTTACCTGAATAATGGCCCATCCAGAAGGCATGAAGGCGATAATAGCAGCAAAGAAATCTGATATGGTAAGTCCAAATACCACAAATAGTACTGTCATGAGTGACAAGAGACAAAGAAAGCGAACTGCCTTGAAAATACGAAACATGAGCTGAATGTCACTGCCAAATCTTTGTCTTCTCACTGATTCCATCTGATATGCTCATACGGAATTCATACAATCAACAGAAGACCAATTAATTAAAATTGCAGAAATCTGAACTAATTTTAAATGTACAATGCTCTATATGTTCACCTTGTTTGATTGAAAATAAAAATATTTTACATCTAAAATTTAAACTACATACAAAATTTCACTTAGTTAAACTTTTGTAGCAAACAATTAGTTAAGCTTAAATTGAAGAAATAATGATTTTACGGGAAGTCACTAGTCTTGATCCCTAGCTAGCATTTATGTACCTTTAATACAATGAGTATTATTATTAAAACTGCCCAAGAAAGTCCAAATACCTACAAGGAAAAAGCAAATTGGTACTTGTAAGATGACATTATAAAACATGCAACAATTAATAAGATTGGAGAATACAAAAAATGAGTTATTCTACCAGCAAATCTTTGTTATGATGAGTAATATCCATGTGGTAGACAATTCCATATTGGTACACAAAGAAGCGAAATGCAAGAATTATCTCAAATATTTTTCCTCTCATATTTGAATATTTCAGGTGTTCATTTTCTTCATCCCACCAAGATTCCCAGCTTTTATCAGGTGAAATACCAACACCACCACTTTTTCCAATCCACTGCTTCCAATCTTTCCAATCATCAGATGTTTTTTTCCAATCAAAGCCAGAAGGATTACATAAGAAAGGAGCAAACAACCAAGAAGTGGCCAAAAACCACATTGAGATTGTTATAAATAAATTAAGATGTGAGCTGCGATATGACTCCCCATAGACTTCATAAACAATCAATAGTATGAGAATCTCCAAGGCCTTCGCAAAATGACTTCGTGAGTACAGCCTGTAGTTATCATAAAATTTTGCATGGAAGACAACAAATCCACGACCAGTTGGTCTATACTTAGCACCTCCATGCAAGAGTGTTCTTCCATAATAATGAACTTTTGTTCCAAGCTGGAAAGTAAAGAACACAGAGCCTAGCTGCAGCTGCATAAAGATAAAATCACCTAAGGCAGTGCGAAATCCCTTCTCCAAGCCAATTTCCATAACCATTGGCAGCACAAGCAGTAATCCCAAGTGAACAACAAACTGAGTTGCCAAGACCTCTTCAAAGGCTTTGCTCTTATGTATGTTTGGACTTTGAAGAATTTCTCTCTCAACTCCACTCAAAACCATATATAAACGACCATATAAGAACACATACACAATTAACACAGTTACCTGACAAATTCATAAAGTCCAAATGTGGGCATTAATACAAATATATTCTATAGAACAAAAGTACAGTCACGTGCTTTAATAGTTATTTGTCTAGTTATATCTATGGTTGTATTGTACGCTGTATATTTCAAATATTTCATTATATAGTCGTATAAAACATCCCAATTGTTGGAAATAACATAAATATCTTTAGGGGTTTATCAGTATCTTATCTTTTATTATTATTTCTTTTTTATCTTTTTCCTCTTCTATCTTAAAGTCATAGTTTCCTCATTTTAGAGATAAGAGTTTTCTCTATAAAAGCATGATTAGAGAATGTAATTTGTGTGACAACGTTATCAACAAATGTTCCTTTTTCAAATTGACATCAAAGCTTCCTAATCCAGGATCTCTATTTCCACTGCAAACACAAACCACTGGTGCCTCTCTATAGCTCCTGCCATCGTTAGTTTTGGTGGTGGGCCAGAAATAGTCGCCCTACCCTGACAATCAAAACACCAGAAGTCCTGAAACCAGATTCAGCCCCATGTGCCGCCCTAGTGCATTATCCAACGAAACCCACTTGTCGTCGACCTCATAGACAAGGTTGCCAGATCCTACCCAGTCTTTTCAAAGTGGTGGGGTCATCTAGTTAGATGTTGTTTATGCAAGATATTTGTGTTTGAGAACTCAATTTTTTTCACCATACTAGTTCGCTTTTGTTCATTTTGTTTGAGATGGCTAGAAAAAAATTATTCCTTTGGGTCAAATGGTTTGCCAAATGTTATCAGCTCCTACTGACTTCATGGTTACAATTATTTACAATAGACCCAATACATTCGGAGAGTTCCCAAAGGATGATAGTGATTATTGAAAGAGGAGGCTTGAGCTCATATGACCCAAAGTTTTAATTATGGGTCTATGAAGAGTCTTATTATGAATTGGATGTGTCATTCTATGGTTTGAGAAATAAGTCAAAATTATATGTTTCATTCCATAATGAGACATATGGGATGACCTAAATGTAACTTTCTCATTGAAGAAAGACTTTGTTGCATGATATGACATTGAAAATAGAGTATTAATACGAGACAAGTGACTCTTTATAGCCAGGTATCATGAAGTGTTAAATGGGTTATGAATCAAGTTGGATTAGCACCAAAGTATGACGAAGTGTTAGACAGATGCCACCACCATTCGGGGTTGTCCAACGAGGAAGGACTTTTAAGTTCCTTCATTGTCTAAATTTGGAATACGATCCTATTCTAGTGTAGACTCTAAGAAAGGACTGTCAATAGAATTGATGGCATATCATTTGATATTATTTCCACTGATTTGCTGACCCTTTAAAATAGCATATCTTACATGATTGTATAGCTGTAGTCATGTAATTATATTCTTAATTATTCCAGCTGTAGGTTAGCATTTTTTAGCAAACTTTAAGGCTAGAAATCAGTTTGGAATCTTATTATTTAATAGAGAATTCTCAAGAGGAGAACGCACAAAATTTTCACCTCAATTTCCTTGAGTTTTGTTGTGATTCAGGAATTGTGTGTATTGTTGTACACATACCAATCTTACTTATAGAGTGAATACAATAAATGATAGAGATACTAATCTCTAATATTATGGAAACTAATCTAATCATATCCCTAATTGATAGTGAGGATAATAGCCATAATATATGTATCCATAATATCTGTAATATATTCACAATATCTGTAACACTCCCCCTCAAGCTAGAGCATATATATCATATGCACCAAGCTTGTTACAAATGTAATCAATCCGAGGTCCTTTACGCGATTTTGTGAACATATATGCTAACTGGTCACCGGAGGCAGCCGAAGGCAACGGTCAGAGGCGGCGATCGGAGGCAGCGACCGGAAGCGACGATCGGAGGCGACGGCCACCTAAAGCGACAGTCGAAGTCAGCGACTGGAAGCGGTTGTAGGTGGCGACCAGAAGCGGCAGTCGGAGTCGGCGATCGGAAGCGACGGTCGGAGTCGGCGACCGGAGGCGGCGGTCAGAGTTGGTGACCGGAAGTGGCAGTCAGAGGTGGCAATCGGAAGCAGCAGTTGGAGGCGGCGACAGGAAGCAGCAGTTGGAGGCGGCGACAGGAAGCGACCAGTGGCGGCGGTGTGACGACCCAAGGTGGCGGTCGGAGGCGACAACTAAAGGCAGCGACCAGAGGCGACGGTCAGCGACGTGGCAACTGGCAACACGACAACCGAAGGCTGCAGTCGGAGG